AATAAAATATCATAAATATTATTTAAATAAATTATTAAATATATAAAATATAAAAGACTGTACCGGTACCCTCTCAAATAAGATGGGTACCATAGAATTTCTCTTGCATTTTACCCGAAAAGGTATCTTTATCTTCATACAATTTTGCTAATGCCACAGCTCTTAACAATGAAGGTGGGGGTTGAACCACCACATCCCCCTTAATATCTATGTTTAGTCCACTAATAAAACAAGTCAACAAAGCTTCATCACTTAATCCAGATGATCTATTAGCAAGGGATGTGAATTTGAGGTAGTAGTCTAAAACAGTACCTGTTTGTTGCAGTTTGAAAAGTCCACCCAAAGGACAATCAAATGGAGAGGGTCCAAATTGAGATTCAAGAGCTCTTGTCAAGTCTTGCTAAGTGTTAACAGCCGATAACCTTTGTTGCATCTGAAACCATGGAATGACCTCATTGTCGAAATGAATGGAAGCGATATCAATTCTTGTTGCACCCTGTGTATTATGATAATTAAAGAATTTTTCTGCCTTGAAGATCCATTCCTGCACAGATGAAGTACCATCAAAATGAGGAAAACCAAGGAAAATGTGTTTAACTGGAAACACCATATTCACTGGAGTGGCGAGCGGGGAGCCAGAGCTGGACGAGGAACCTCCATGAGATAGAGTCTTCTAGATCAGAAGTTGATTAAAGGCAGATTGAAACTGTTCCAAATGAGTATGCATCTTAGTTTGGGCTAACGTTGCTTGAACAACATGTTCTCTTTGTTCTTCGTGTCTCAACTCTAACAATTCCACCAAACTCCTAAGCTCAACGTCATGTGAATTAATTGTGAACAACATGTTCTTTGTTCTTTGTGTCTCAACTTTAACAATTCCACCAAACTCCTAAGCTCAATGTCATGTGAATTAATCACTACTTGCATTTCCTTCAAACGCGTATTCTCAGCCATAGAAGCTCAATGAAAGCACCAAAACATGAATAATATTGAATAACAACTTTGAAAGTATTTTTATCTCTTTTTATATGTGGATACAATAGTATATGATTGGATAGTATAAAGAGGTAACTAGAAATTGAGTAACTAATGAATGACAGCAAATAGTAGCAAAAGAATGATTCCTTATAGAAGTCTACTCAGAACCTGAATCAATACAAGGAGAAATCGGATCAGAATGCAGAAAAGAAGCAAGAGCACATAAGGGAGAATTATCAGAGAGAAGCATATCACACGCATAATGATCTCACTCCACAAAGTTTTCCAATAAAATATTCTTTCTCCTAGGTCTCATGCTTTTCCTCTGGTCCATAATTCCCGAATCTGCCTCCATGTGACCATTCCTTACAACTAACTTTCCATCCTCCAATTCAATAATTGGATATCCCTTTTTATTATTTTGCTCACATAGTGACATGTTACACCTGACTGCAAATTGACAACTACACGTGCCAAGAACCAAGAGTGTCTGAATTTCACATGATAAAACTTTTCCGAATCATTTCAATCGCCTGCATGAGGTGAACAATGAAAATAATCTAATTTGATGAAGTCAATTATCACTTTTGATCATAGCCTTTCTGGTTGTAACCAGTATTCCCAAACCAAAAAAAAAGAAAAAATTGATGTCAAAGTATCAGTTGATTATGTACTTCCATGATTTTTCTTCAAGTATAAAATTATATCCTTACAACTGCATACACTTCCATGTTTAACTTCTCATCCTTTCCCAATTAGGAAGGGATGCAGTACCCACACATCACTGAAAAACCAATCAAATTCAACTTCTAAACAACTGTGGGTAAAGAATTCTTGTTGTCACACATATCAATATTTCCTCTACCACAGAGTGCCATAAACTTATCATAAAATTGCAACAAAGGACACTTATCTACCAAGTTGGAACCAAGGTATGCATCTTTGAGGAAGACAGTACTCCTTACACCTTTGTTAGTGAGGTAAAATATCCCTTGATGCTTTATCAAGCAAAGCAACAATTGAGATGGCAAAAGACACTCTGCATGAAATGCATCCAACTGTGCAGATGTCATCCTCTTCTCCATAGTCAAGCTGAGGAGCTCATGAATCACTGCCACGACCCGTTTTCGAGCTTTTGGATCAGTAGCATTAAACCTCCTCGCATTCAAATAAGGTGAAGGAAACTCCAACTTCTGCCACCTCTCAAGCTGCTCAAGGAAACCAACATTTGGCCTAAAACCAGAAGGAAAATTCATTTTGAATGCAAATGGACCAACATAGTTCCCATCTCTTGAAATCTTCACCTTCTTCTGATCCCCATCTGTCTTCAGCTTCACAACTCCTTCCTGTGCCAACCTAATTCACGTTGAAATTAACTCATTTTGTTCCAAAAGAATTTTATAATCAAAGTCTCACCATTGATGTTAGTGTTAGGGCACACTTTCAATAAGAAACAATCACCCTTTTTTTATTTCAAAGGTTGTTTACAAAGCCCCAAATATTATTATTCAAAATAAGCTAATCCGAAAACAAAACTAAGACCTGTTTAGATAAGTAAAAAATTCTTTCAGGAATTTCTCTATCGGTTATTTCCTGCGAAATTCTAAAAAACGCTTCTAATCTTATATCTAAACAAGCTCTATAAAGATTTCATTTTTCTTATAAGTTAAACAAACTGAAACATGTAGCAAATTGCTACGCAATTGTAAAAATATATACCGACAAAAAAACCATTATTTCCTCAAATGTTGAGTGAATCCAAACACGAACCTAGTCTCTCTTGCAGTGACAGCCAAAGTGGAATCCCAATCCTCCAAGACGAGACAATCCCTTCTTCCGAAACGCCTAACAGCGAAAAACTGAGGGTACTTGGCGATCAAGCAGTGGTTAAAATCCTGGGGCAGGCCCAACTCAGGCCCAATAAGCTCAACCGTGTGGAGTGGCAGCCTGCAATCGACGCAGAGCATGAGCAGCTTGCGCAAGTTAGTAACCAAGAGGGGTTCCATGGAGGCACGGGCGCAGGCCTCCTGGTGGGCCAGGCGGTGGGCCCGGGGCGTGAGGGAGACGGAAGGGGGGGTCCCGGTGACGCGGAAGACAGAGGGGTGCTTCTGGATGAGGCCCATGAAGGCCCATTTGCGGACGAAGCCGACGTTCTTCTCGAGGTCGCGGAGGAAGAGGGAATGGGATTGGAGGAGGGAGGCGAGGTGGAGAATCATCGAAGGCTTCTTGCGAAGCTCCATCACTCGGTCTAGTTCGCTCACTCTGTGGTAAGTTTTCTTCTTCGGCCTTCTTCCGCCGCTCGATTTGTGCCTCACGCCGAAACGCAGCGTCACACAGCCGTGACCAAGCATCGCAGTTGCTGAGAGGAACACGAAATTCCCAGGCTATGAGAGTGGGAGGTTGCACCATGTGATAAGGCTTATTGTAATGCCCTTGTAGCTAACAAAAGAGACATGCTTAAGATTTAATGTAGAAAGATAGATGTATTTGAAATAGAAGAGAATGTTAACCTATATTCATAAATTTATATTTATATTTGTTTTACATGTTTTTTAATTATATCTTTTATATTGTAAAATTAAATTTATAAAAAAATAATTTTATTTTTTAAAGAAGAAGTTAGTCTTAAAATTGTAGAAATAAATTATTTTTTAAAATGTTTATATGTTAAAAATAAAATAAATTAAGCTTTTCTTTAAAAAAATTAAATGAAATTGTTATGGTTCAAAACGATCCTTTCAAATATTAAAAAATTATTTATTTATATAATTTTTATTTTTATTTATTTAATAATTTATTAAATTTTTATTTTAGTTCAAATAAGACAAATTTAATTTATATTCAAATCTTAAGCTCTAAATCCAAAATAAATTAAATTTATTTATTTATTTAAAAAAAAGTCTATTAGCCTTAAAATTAGATAAATAAATTTTTTTTTTTTTAATTTAATGTGTTAAAAATAAAATAAATTAAACTTTTAAAAAAAATAATAAGTTCATTATGATCATAATGATCCCTTTAAATATTAAAAAAAATCTCTCATCTATAATAATTTTAAAAAAAAAATAAGTCATTTTGTGTCATTTCAGTCAATAACTACTTAAATTAGATCATTATAATTGCAACAACCTTTATTTCATAACATTTATAGTTTAAAAAAGAACATGTAACATATGAGTCATAACAACTTTACAGTAAATAATTCTAAATATATAAATTATTTTAAAATAATCTTATTGAAATTATTTATTTTTAAAATAATCCTACAATAATCAATCAATCTTATGTGTCAAATATATTTATTTCATATTGAGCATACTAAGTTTTATTTTTTGTTATTTGATTTCTCATGGTGGAACGAGTTTCCATTAGAATTGAAATTCATGAATTAAAAATATATTACCCAAAGAGGTGAATGTGACAGTCTTTAAATGATTTTATTTTGGAATTTAAATTAAATAAAGACAACAAATTTTTTTAAATAATTTATAAACACTTCACAAGTAAAAATTTCACATTCTGGTTCCATTTGTTAGGCTCTATTTGTTATTTTTTTTAATAAAATCATTGTTTTTAATAAAAATAAGTACTATCATATTTTTTTTAACATGTTTGTATAAACTTATTTTTTCTTAAAATAAATAGTTTTCTACTTTTTTTAAGAAGTAACTCTTATATCTTTCTTAAAGAATTATATTTTAATATATATTTTTTATAAACACACTTCTTTTTAAATTTGAGCAAATGAATCCTCAATCTTCAACTGAATAAATCCAGAAATAAAAATAAATAAACTATAATAATTAATAGTTTAAAACACTCCAAAAGGTCAAACATAATTTATTTTATCTAACCTTATATAACCTTTAAAGACTAAATAACTAAAATATAATTAAATGCATATATCGTCTGAATAATTGAAAATAGTATACAGAATTATGATATGATGTCTTATCAAAACATGGTAATTAAAGACATAATAAGGATGTTTAAATTTCACCATATGCATCAACATCTAGTCAATCCTCATCTCCAAATGGAGTTCCACTGAAACAAAATTTTAGTTTCCAAAATAATTGAAATCTTCATACATTCTAGAAACTAAATTTCAGAATGTTATGAAATACTTTATAGAATCTTAATTTTAGAACATTTACATATTGTCATATAAACATTCCAGAAATTAGTTTTGAAAAGATAGTCTGGGGTGAGGAATACAAAAACTGAGTATTTTGAAGAGAGAGAAAAAAAATAGTGTAAAAAGAATTACCCATAACACTGGCATGCTTACATTCTAATCGGAAATCAAGCCTACGCAATTTGTGACTCTCAGGCCACATTGCCACAACTAAATGTGCCCTTTCATGGCATTTCGTTTCATAGTATTAGTTAAATTAGTGAACTAAAAATAAGCAAAGCCAAAATAATTTTATTATGGTCTAGTGGTTGTATAATGGAATTTGATAATATATCCAAAAAATGAAGAAAAAAAAAGTGATTATAACAATATGTTGTTCAGTAAAATATACTAATTTTTCAGTTGCCCTTGCTCTTCCAATTCACATGTTATGGAAACAAGCAACCTTCATTGTGAGTTCACCAATGAATGGGTGGTTCAACAGCGTTAACTCCTATTAATTAAATATATTTTCCAAGTGCACAAGAATGTACATACCATTTCAAAACAATAATATCACACTCCACATGCTCTTGATATGGAGGAACGGTAAAACTGCACATTCTGAAAAGAACTCTCCCAAGAAGAATAAATCAATTAAAGGGTCAAGTTCCTGCTTTCTATATTGCAGCTGACAGTACCCTATCACCAATTAAAAAAGGGATAACGGCTGAACTTTTCTGTACTAAGATTTGGAGCCGTTAATGCCAGAAGATGCTGCATATATATGATAAGTGAAGTTTTCAGGAGTGAACATTCTCAAAAATCGTATTTGGTTCTTCCACTTCCCAAAATGAGACATAACATGTCTGAAATATCAAGAGAAGAGGAATAAAAATTCCAAGATTCGAGCATTAAGCGTTTTCTTGATCCTTTAAAATGAACAACCTGCATCCCAAAAATAAACCAGGAACAAATGTGTTAAAACTAAAAGGATAGTATATTATCTTTATAGAATTTCCCAATATCTAACTTCAATATTATCTTTACCGAATTTCCCAAAATCTAACTTCAAGCATTCAGCAGAGGACCAGACAGAATACTGTTGTAAGTTTGAATTATACCTTAACATCCAATGGCATGCCGTGAAATTGACCAGCACCCTCAGGCGGAGTCCAATTGTACAGAGAACAAGGTAAGAACAACACTGAAGTGCCACCAATATCCTCAGAGAAAGCAAGTGCTTTGGCATACCTGCTGGCGTCAAAATGAGGTTTTGACTTCACAACCCAAGCAAGAGCTAACTGATCACCCAGCATGCGGGAAGCATTTCTATATTTTGTGCTATAAACTTTCAAGACCTCTTGTAGGAAAAGCTTTGCCCTACATTGATTATCAAATTATATTAAAAAACTTGGCATCAAAAAATAAGAGAGAAATTGAGAAAATGGTAATTAAAAAAGATTTACAAATTTTCAAATGTTCAGCGGAGAAACAGAATACAGAAAATAGCCCCAAAAGAATTATGATAACAATGGCAATGCAAGCTTGCAAATGACTAAAGTATCATATCATATCAAAGGTGTTTGCATGGTATCTATGTAGTGTAGTGTGCTGTTACACATCATGTAATTTGCAAGAACAGTAATTCAAAATTCCTCACTGCTTTCCACCAAATATAACAATGTCAGTAGCATCAAAACAACACTCAAATACTGGCATCAAAATAAGGTGTTTCTTAGTGCAATACTCTTTATTAGTAAACAAGAAACGTCATACTGTAAAATACTTCCATTTGCAGGTTTAAATGGGACTGGATGGTATAGAGTAAAACATTTATGGTAACAACAATCAAAATTAAATACCAAAAAAAAAAATAATCTTTCTTCTACAAGAAACCTGAAACGAGCATGCCAGGCGAATAGTTGTAGATTTGCAGATCAAGTATATGATCTAAACAAAGGTAAGTCCATGTATGATGCTTAACACTAAATGAAAACTGCATAAATACTAGTTCATTGCGCAACCAGTTCACTACTTTTAAACCTTTTGTAGTTTATGACACAATTGCAGTTGAACCAAAAAAACTTCAGTAGTACAGATTATCACCTTAAAATTGCTTCTGGGGTACCCCTTACTGCAATGAATCCTGAATTCAAAGGTTGAGCCTTATTGTTCCTAAAAGTCAGAGCCAGATGAAAATTAGGATTGTCATGAAAAATATGCCCTAAATCATCAACCACTGCTATATCAGAATCAGTGAAGATGTAATGAGTGATATTCCTCGGATTCTGAGTAAGTTTCTGAAGCCTTGTTTCTAGAAAGGTCTGTGAAATGAAAAACACAAGGTTATTTAGTTTAAAGAATTATTTTAAAATTCTAAACATATCACCTATAATGCTATAATAATAATAATAATAAAAACAACAACAACAATAATAATAATAATAATAATAATAAAATAGCTCAATAGGGGAGAATGTGAAATTGTCACAATTAACCACAAAGTTGAATGAATGATGTTTTTCTGCCATAATTGTCAGAAAACGAGCTCTAGGCCAAAAACAATCTGAAATTATGAAACATTTGTAATATTGGGTAATAACAAACTAGCAAGCACCTCTGGTCTATTTTGGTACACATTATTGAGGGAAAAGGCAGCTATAGTATAGATCATTATAATTGATGGACAGAACAACAGCAGGAAAAACATTCTGCTAAATGTAGTCACTGATGAGTGATGAAAAATTATTTTTCATCAACAAATGTTCTATCTACAGTGGATGCAATGTGATCTTACAATGTAAGACCTGATCCTTTGGAGCATCAACTTGTCTCGTGAATATTCACCTTGTATAGGATATAGAGAGACCCTATTCCGTGGCACTGAGAGGTCAGACACGGGATCTGTGAGAATAATTACTTTGCTCTGGGGCATTCTGACCTGCATACATTAACCACAATGTTGAGTGAATGATATCTGTCTTGACGAGCTCTATGCCAAAAATTTGTCATCTTTCTAATCTACAGCTGAATGATGAATGATGCAAATTCAGTGCAATTTGTACTTTTGTGCATACAGTAATATTTACTATTAAATCACTCAAGCTACCCTTGTTGCCCACCAATTGAAATTTACCAGTAGCCAATTGTTGCCAAGGATGTATGACGTTTGGGTTTAGTGCCAAGATAGGAAAAGATGAAAAGCTCATGTAGACAAGGCTAATCCACTATTTCATGCTGATAAACTCCAAAAGTATAAAATCATAGACAAAGACAATCACACTTAGCTATACGCCTACAAAGTAAAGAAACAATATACACTAGAGTGTTGGCAACACATTGCAAACTACAAAATCATAAGGGGATCTCAATAAATAAATGGGACCCACAATTTTGTGGTTTTCAATAAATTTCACTCAATAATAGTGTGTTGCCAACATTTCTCAGTCTCACTCATGCATAATAATAGGCTATTAATAGGCAATATGCTCTTTGCAGTGAGAAAAACCCCACAACTTTTGTTCAACGTTTACCTGAATGAAGTTAATAAAAACATTCAACAAAGCCATGGACCTGCCAAACTTATTGTATGAAGCATTGCCAACAACTGTGTTTGATGATTTATCGTCTACATCACTGAGAGAAGAATTATAAATGGTAAAGACAGTGACAAATGTGATACTTCCATCTACAGCTGATCTGCTGCTAGAATAATGGGTCCTATTGAGAGCTTTTGCCCCTGTGAATTGAAAATTTGTAAATGCATTATAAGAATCAATTGAAGAAAAAAAATAAACATGAAAATTATGAGGAAATGCAAAGCTCCTATGTGTGTGGGTGTGTGTGTGTATATATATATATATATTGCATGCATGTATATATTAAATTTCAATGATCCAATTGTTGAATATTTGATGTTATCCCAGTGATCATTCACACCAAATTTTAAACAAATCAGATATTTATAGGTAGGTAATCTTATAGTCAACATTTATTAATATATTAAAAAGTATATCATATGTTAAATTTATTTAATGAATTATTTATTAAAGTTTCAAAATTTCATGAAAATTTGAAAACTTAATCTATGCAATATTTTTTTTTTCAATTTAACAATTGAATCTTTGAAATTTATTGTATACAAAGATTCGATTGGAGTAACTCTTCGAATACTAGATCCTAGCCCATGTGTTCGAGCTCCATCCGCTATTGTGGCCGCTATGGTATCATGTTTGCATATGTATCTTATATCCTCATGTTTGCATATGGAATCTAATATAAGGCTTTTGAGAAAAGAAAAGAAAAACTAAGATCTAGTAACATTTGTGAATGCTAAATGACCTAGCTCCAGAATACAAATTTCCCAATGTTCATAACACATTTGAAGGAAGTTACCATTTTTGTCAAATGTCGTTGAACAGTGGGTTTACATCAGTAGCTTTATTTGATAAAAGCACTAGGTTTTGAGACAACCCTATTCAGATTTCAGAATCATATTATCCAGAGCAAAACCATTTCAAGAATCAAGAACATAACTAAAATAACTTTATAAAGAGACAAAAAGAACCTTGGCATTGCAAACGATTTGACAAGCCTTGTCCAGCAGCAGGACCAATAACTAGATGATCGAATTTCTTGTTTAGTTGCTTGTGGGGTTCCTCCATTTTTGGGTTTTTGTGCAACTCCATGACTAATAAAAACAACCAAGTTAATTTTATGCTCCAATCATACACAGAAATTTATAATTACAAATAAAAGTGACTACCCACCGGAAAACAGATGAGTAAGGAGGAAAATCAAAGGAAGACAAAAAACCAAACGATGCCATCCACTGACTATTTTCATGCCTGCTAAGCATTCACTTGAGTACAAACACTGAGAAAAAAGGGGGAGAAACTAATGTTCTGTAATCACAAGCACTTCAGCTGCACAGACAATACAAAGTGCACTTAGAATGGAGCTTTAGCAACAGTAAAATCATGCATGGATAAGAAAAGGATGAAAGAAATGAGGCAAAAAAATTCTGTTCACAAATTATATATTAGGCCACCAAATAGAAAAATTATACAGCTGAAAACTTGTGAGAATCACGAAAATATCAGACAAATTATTTTTTTAAAAAAAACTTAAATTTAAATGGCAGGATCTAGCAGGTTGATGATTAATCCTAAATGCTAACCCACCCCAAAATGAATGGTGGATTATATGATTAATATGATTTCTTCTTAGCTTAATTATTTACTTTGCAATGTGTAGCAACAAAGACTTAACCCTTAGCTAGTATAAAATGGCAATCTTATCATCCTATAATCACACAAGAAGAAGAAATGAATAGTAATCAAGCTCTAAAAAATTGCACAGAATACTTAGTAGCAATGATCCCAAGTTCCAACAGTAGTCAATGCCTACACCCACAATATTTACTTTATTTTTTGTCACTTGTGTAGCATTCAGAGTAGTGAATCGCATTTAATGATGACTCCAACAACACTAATAATGTAGCAGATCAGGCAGCGCCAGCCTCACTGAATGCAAAAAAATATTAATACTTTAAACACATAATAGATAGTAGATGCATAGGACTCGGTACTCAAAAGTCAATTTATGACATAACAACCATCATCAATCGGAATCATAACTAATATGTCAATAACATAGGCAGGAGGGGGAGCAATCTTGCCAAGCAAGGGATGGAGACGCTGCCAAAAACAGAGGAACTCCAACTCAGCATCCAACCAAAGCTGTGATGAATTGACTGGAGATGGAAAATATCCCCTATTTCGTGAATTAGGATTTAATTTCAATATTTCCAAATATGTTTTCCAGTTTTCTTAATTTCTCGAAATTGATTGAGGATTTCCTCAAGCAAATCAGAAATATTTTCTTCCCTTTCATCAATTGTAAAAGCATGTGCTGCCAGATTTCACCAAGCAATGGGTGGATTGCAGAATAGAGACATGGGAACAACCTGTCTGTGTGCAATAAAACAGGGGAACTAATCACAGCATGCTTCAGATATGTGAAGGATGAAGGAGCCAAATAAGACCCTCAATCAGCCATAAATGTTAAAAATTCAGCATGGGCAAAATAGATTTTTTCCCTGACAAAAATTGTAGCCTCAACAGACACAATTTGGTCCACAATCAGCCACCACCATTGTGGCTACAACTCACATACACTTGAGCTCATCTAGGAATGGCAGATGTCTGCTGACCCTGCTGTAATTGTCTGATTGATAAGCCAATAGCATTACAGCTAGCATAAATTTACAAGACATTACATAATAAAAGGAATACATTTATATTATGGAAATCAAATCATAATTAGCGCTTGAACTTGCAACCTATATTTTTTGAAGTAACATTTTAGTAATCAATATTTTGAAAATCAGACTTGCTTGATATGTTAGAAAGTCTGAATAAAAACTACTTCTGGTTCAATAGCTAATAAGCTTCAACTTCATGATAATCCGCCAAATCAACTTTTTAACTTCATGATCATCCACCAAATCATCTTGTTCATGGTGCTTCTATGTTTTGTGCATAAGATTAATGTACCAATATCTAACACCCATTAATGGATGTTTCTTAACCAAAATATCATTTCTATAAGCCTCTCTAAGTACAACAGTCTGCGTCCTAATCTTATTGGAAATGTAAAATATACCAGGATGATGAACCAAAGCCTTCTTGAATCTCAAGGCCAACCCTAAACATTCTCCAAAACAAAGCAAATTCTCTCTCTCAGTCTTCTTTGACACAAGAAGAGAAAGCAACTCATGCAAAATTGCCACTGTCCACTTCTCTGCTTGGTCACTATTTGAGTCAAGATGAAAAGCATCTTCATATGGAGAAACATAAGGCAATTTTTGCCAGTTCTCAACCCAAGCCTTCACCCTCTTCTCTAAATCAAAACCTTTTGGCAAAAATATGGGAAATGTAATACCGTGCCTTCTTTTATCTCCAACATAGCCCAAGCTCATTGCACTCTTTTGTAACTCAGACACAGAAAGCTCTTTTCTCCATGAAACAAGCTCTAAAGCAAGCAATTCTTTTCCAGATGATGGATCTTCCACAACACAAACATCAAAGTAATCAGGGTAATCAGACAAAAGGGTCGTCACATAATCATGAGGTAGTCCCATATCCCATTTTAGCTTCTCAATTACATAAAGAGGCAATTTTTCCATGCCAGCAAGCATCAGAAGCCTTGCAAGCCTGTGAACAGTTTCTTCACGATTAGTGGGAGAGTTATGAACAGCCATTTCTTCTTTGTGGAGGGAAAAGGCTTGAGGTGTGAGCTTGACAACTGGAGGAAGACCAGGACCAGGTTGGAATTGTGTGAAAACACAACGATATTTGTCAATGAATTTGGTAGTTGTAGTGGGAAGGTTGAGGGAAGCTTTTAGTTGAGAAGCAGTATACATGGAAACGGATTCCGAAGGAGATGAAATGATTTGGTTCTTGAGGGAAATTGTCTGTTTGAGATCTTTCTCTTTCAGGACTGCAGTATCAAGATATGGGTCTCGGACCCATTTGACCTTCACATTCACAAAAGTCCTAATTTGGTTGAACAGGCGAGGATGTTTGGAGGAAAGAGCCATGAACAACCAGCTCAATACCCTGTAAAGTGGAAACACTCTGTCATAGGGTAAAAATTCTTCTATAGACTTGCACTCTAACTTGTTTAGACTAAGCTAATAAAGTATTGAATATAACGACCATTAAATAAAGAAAAATATTCTGCATAAATTTATGAGCTCTACAACTATTTTCTTACATCTAAAATAATGATGCATTAGGTTGTCAGTCTTTTGTTGGCTTAGTCTATACACTGCACAGCTTGTGTAACTGTAGACTAAGTTTATAATTTCATATCATTCCGTAGGTAATGCCAAAAGGTGAGATGAATAAAATTTGTCAAGCCTAAATTGGTATCCCTAAGATTTGAGATTTGAGTCTATGTTGGATTAAAGTCACAACTCAATTAAATTACAACAAAACCCCAATGGGAATCCAATTAAAATTATTCTTCTAAATTCCAATGCCGATAAGAAACACAATACATGTGCAATTCCAGAAAAAGAAAAAAAAAACACAATTTGGAGCTGAAAATATAAATTAATGAGTAAATAGTCATAACAACAAAGATATATAACTAGTTGATAGATTGAAAATGTAAAAAAAAATTATACCAACAGTGCATATGACTATTTTCTCACATTCATAAAAGTCATATCAACTATATATAAACCATACAATGTTGCTTAGTTCAATAAAAATCAAGTTGTGATAAAATATCAGCCATAACTACGTGGTCCAAGCCACAAGAACACTCTCCATTCTCCAACCAACCGCAATGCCTATAAATATTTTTCAACAATAAAAAAGAAGTCCACCTATATGCAGTAAACATCCAAACTTTGGTTTAATTTGTTTCTCAAACTTCTCATAAATAAAATATCAAAACCATCGATCATACATATGCATCATGAAACTATGCGAGTAAACAAACTCTAATATCAAAAAAATTAAAAATAAAAATTAGCCAAAAGGAAAAGTGGGATTTCAAAAATTTTCTACGGAAACATCCATAAAACACTAAGAATTGGTCAAACCTAGAAATGGTGCAAAACATAAAACATATCAGTATTAGGAAACTCAGTTGGATATGCACATTATGGTTATCAGAATTCACTGAAACAGTATAGTTTTCAACTCTTCCCAGCCCAATGCTTATGAAGTGGTGGAAATGGTAAAGATTAGGAATTGGTTATGGATAAAAGCGACTTTTGGTAAAGCCACTATAAGCTTCTATGAATGGTGGTCAAATCCAATTTGTTTTGTTGTGTATCCTCATTCTATATCTTAACTTCTCTAATTTGTTGTCTTGGGTTGGTTCTGCAAAAGCTCACAGTAGCACTATCAAAAAGCTAGTCACCATTGATGTCCGAGTTTTACTAGGTGCTGCTGATGAAAGACACTTTCAATTATGAATGCAGTTTTGGGAGCTGCACCCAATTGGGTTATGTAACGGTGTTGAATGCACTTGACACTAAACATAAACTGTGTAGTTACAATTGAAAACCTCTTGTACTAACTCTTCAATGCATTTTTCTTATCAAAAAAAAAAAACGGAATTTCGGAACAAATCATAGGCAAATAGTGGCAACGCACGAAACACAAAATATGGATGCACTGGATGGTGAAGTGAAGAATGGAACAGATCTCAAAGAAAGGAAAGTGAAAAATACCTGAATGAGAGAGATCAAAGCATCAAAGTGGAAGAAGAAGAAGAAGAATAAAACGACGACGTGTAAGGGAAAACACTGAAAACTATGCTTCGTTTTTCTGTTCAATCTGTAAAACGCAGAGAAAGATTGTCGCTCTCGCCTCGCTGGGACTTGTTTATGTGCGACTCTGCGTTTCGCTGGTGAAGTAAGTCACTTCACGGAATCACGAGTGTGAGCTTGGACTACGAGCCCATGTGGCCCAAAATACAAGCCCAGTAATTCGGTCTAGCCCAATAACTCGTATATGATTATTATGAGAGAGGACTTGAAACTTGAGATTATAACAGTGATGGTTATCATTTTTAATTTGACATTTTTTATAAAAAAAAAAAAAAAGTTGTATTAAAATTAAAATTAGTGAAAGAAAAAATTCTTTAAACTTCTACACATATTTTGGTGTTTTAATTATAATTAATAGTTAATGAATGTTTAAAGTAATTTGTTCCAAATAATATTTTCTATGTTCTTATTCGTGATAATTTTAAATATTTAGAGTTTGTCTAGTTTTATGTTTAAAATTCCATTGATAATCAATCCATATATTTGTATTAAGTCACTTTTAGGTAGTGAGAAAGAGCCAAAAGAGGTGGAAAAACTTGATAATATTATTAGCTTTGTGATTGATATATGTAACTTTCTTTCTTTATTTTATGAAATCGTGTGTTTCACTCCTTGACTTTGTTTTCTCAAACTAAAGCAGGTTTTCTAGTTACTTATATGTTTGGATTCTTTGGAAGAAATTTAGTCAAATGATTATAAGTTTCGTAGACGAAGAGGAAACAATCCATGGACATCTATGTTAATTTTAGCCTACGAAAACATGCAAATTAAATTTGAAAGGCACAACTATCTACTTGTATATATTAAATACGATTTATTATTTTATATCAAGATATTTCAGGGATTTCTCTTTACCACCAACAACTTTAAACATTTTTTTCCCAATAGAAAGGTTTAACATCTTATCTAATTAATCTTTTATTTATTATAATTTTTTATAAATTATTTTTTAATACTTTTAAAATAAATTATCAAAAATTTTAAAAAAAAATTATCATAATATAAATTATGTATCATAAATTTAAAATATAATTTATATATTTAAAAATATTTATTTATAAAATTTTAAATATAATTTATATGTTTAAATATAGTATTTATTTATATAAATATATTATAATTTTAAATTATATGTGTTCTTACCGGAAATACGTACAATATGTATTTAGCTTGATAAGTTAAAATACTAATTTATTTACTATCTTTATTTTTGGTGTTTTGAAAAGGTTACATAATTTGGTTGCCTTTAATTGGTCTAGGTAACAAACAATAAGATTTGATGATTAAACATAATTATTCTTCTTTTATTTTAATAATATTCGTATAAAATATTCATTATCCGTCGCTAAATTTAATTACTATTTAGTGACCGAATTCAATTCGGTCGCTAATTTTAACTAATATTTAGCGACTGAATTCAATTCTGTCGCTAAAAAAATAAAAATTCTAAGTTAGCGATCGAATTCAATTTCGTCGCTAAATTTAACCACTACTTAGTGACCGAATTGAATTCGATCGCTAATTTGAACTAATATTTAGGACCGAATTCAATTATGACGCTAAAAAAATAAAAAAATTTAATTTAGCGACCAAATTTAATTCGGTCGCTAAAAAATTCAAAATTTCTTATTTAGAGATCGAGATATCAACTGATTTTCTAGCGACGACTTATTTTGGTCGCTAAATCGGTCGCTATTTTGATTATTCATAATATGTCGCTAAATAGTGACTGATAAATTTTGGTCGCTAATTTTGGTCGCTATTTTACAATTTTCTAGCAGTGGGTTAGGGTTCCTATAACTTGATGAACATCTTATTTATATGAATTAATGAGTAATTGAGAAATTTTTCTTATGGATGTACCTTAGTATTATTGTAATATTTTTCTGTGTGATTAACCAAATCAATTTTTGCTTGTTAGGCTAAAAAGTACACTTGGGACTATAATTTAAACTCTAGAATCTTATAAAAATATTAAGAATTGATTGAGTTATGCAAATTATAAGTTCAGCCTCCAATCTAGTGCGCAAAATATAAATATTTTTGAAACATTACACAAATTTATAGATTTGATTTATTTAATAAAAAAATTTAATATAATAATATTAAAATTCAATGTTTATCTTAAATTAATGAGCGAAGAAACTCTACTTATTTTTAGAATAATTTTCCATGCTATATGTATATATAACCAAAAGTTTGTAATAATAATTGAATTTAATAAAATTAAATGGACTTAATTACATTTGACAATGAATTGAATTACTAACATTAGTTATATTTATTATATACATACAATCTATCTATTTATCTAGGAGACGTGTCATATAAGAATCAGAATGATCAATCTCAATTCATAATTAAAATAAATAATTTTAATTAAAAGAGTCACTTAAAATTACAAAATCTCTTCCATCATCATTATCACTATCAACACAATTTTACTATTATTATCGATGCCATTATTATAATACTTGAGTTAACATTACGAGTAGTTGTATCTAATAAAACTTAATTAATTATATTTAATAAAAAAAAATATCCATATTAATGATATTTATTACATAGATATTTATGTGACACCCTCTACCTCATTATTAATATACAACAAATGTACCCCTAATCCCTTGCTTGTTGCATGCTTCTAGGAACATGCAAAATATTAATATGTTCTATTTTATTTTCTGTTTGCTCTACTTTGTTCCTTGTTGGAAGTAATAAATGAATATGTTATTAATTTTAAAAATAAATAAGTTTTAATATAAATAAGAATGATCTCTGTGGATTTCTATGCGGACCTTATGAGGAATAATTATGACATGACTATGTGAAATATGCACAAATGACATGAGACATAAGAATGGACTATTGAGACAAGCTGTTATTATGAGAATATGAAAAATGATGACATGGTGTACTAAATAAAATTCTGTAATAAATCAAATGTTGAGTCAATGAAATAATGAATGTATGACATGCATCATATGCACATATAACTCCAGGTGTGCCGCTTATGCTGCATATCAATGATGTAATGAGATATTTTAGGTGTACCTTAGGGTCACCCACGACGTAACATGCTAACAAGGTGTACCTTAGGGTCACCAGTGATGTAACATGCTAACAAGGTGTACCTTAGGGTCACCCATGACATAACATGCTAACAAGGTGTACCTTAGGGTCACCCATGACGTAACATGCTAACAAGGTGTACCTTAGGGTCACCAGTGATGTAACAAGCTGTGAGAAATGTGAAACTTTTGTATGGCGCCACATGCATGCATTTATGAGTCGAGTTCATGACATCATTGCATGATAAATGAGTGTATATGTGATATTGATTATATATGTGTATTGTTTACATGTGACTTATATTTGTTGTGTGTGTACTATCTAAATCTAACCTTTATTTCTGCACCTGAAACTGAGTGAGATGTTTCTCACTCCCTTGTTGTTCTTGTATATGTTTAAATTATGTTGTAGGTGATCATCATTATGAGGATGTTGGTGATGAGGCTTAAGGTTTCAGTTGGGCATGCTCTGATAGGATGTGACATCGGGCATAACTAGGCTTAGTTTAGGATGTTATTGTTTTAAAAGTCTTAGTTTTCTTTTCTTTTGTAATTTGAACGTTCTTGATAAAAGACCAAAATATGCATCTTTGTCATATTATTTTTATTACATGATTTGGAAGTTATAAATTAATTTCTAACTAGGAGGCACTACCACCTTTGCTGGAATTAATGTATATTTTCCTTTATAAGATTTCTTGAGTTTTGATACTTACATGTTGACTTTTTTATGATTTATGAGTTATGAATGTGAATCTTCTACCTTATGATATTTGAGACAATTATTTTATTTATGAAAGATGTTGTCAACTATGAAAGATTTTATTTACTAAAAAAAAAATAATTATTATTTACACTTATTGTGTATTAATGTTGGGGTAAAGGGTGTCACACTAATAATAATTTTAAAAGGAATAATTACATAAGAAAAGCAAAACAATTCAATTAAATGGAAGGTTATATACATGTAGTGTAACATTTGTGGTGAATGTCTTATTATTTTGTTTTATAAAATTTAATGCTTTGAAATTTATTAAATAGTATTGCGTATGAAAGATTTAATTGTTTAGGAACATTTAATAGACAAAAATTAAAAAAATATAGGCTTAATTGCATTTTTTATCTCTCAAGTATAACAATTGTGTAATTTTGGTTTCCAAGGTTTTAATTGAGTAATTTTAGTCCTTAAAAGATTGCAATTGTGTGATTTTAGTCCTTCGATTTTTAATTGAACATTTTTAGTCCATCAAATATCATAATTATGCGATTTTAGTCTTTCTCATTAAAAATTTAATCATTTGAAATTTTTAATTTATATATATATATATAATGTTTTAAAATTATACAATTGTTTGCTTCTTTAAACTAACGTATATTATAATTTTTGTTAATATATCAAATGATATATATTTATTATTACTAAATAAATAAAATTTATATATTATTAATATTTTAATATTACTGATAAATTAATATCAATAATATTTTTACTATATTTATAGATAAACTAATAATTTGATAAATATAAATTATTATATATTAATATACTTTTA